TTTTTTTGTTGATTATTCCACTAATTTTTCCATTTGTTGAGATGTTCTGTTCCTTTTATTGTTTTTTTGCTTTTTCTTATTTTATTTTCTAAAAGGGCCCTAAGTTAACTTTATCTTGTAGATAAGAAAAGAAATATATATATATGCAGCGCTTTTCTGGTACTTCTTCTACTTCTTCTCTTGTAAGGCGATTACGAAATCATTATGCTTCTACAAATGGGGTAATCTCTTCAGTATTCTCCGTACTGCAGCGTTGCGAATGTTCACATGCGAGTGGAATAAATACTAATAATAATAATAATAATAATAATAATAATACAACTGAGGCTCCTCAATCTTTACGAAAAGGACGAGATCCAATGGCAACCCTCTCAACTGTTTTTCGTAATAAACCATCAGCTCTTCTATTACATAGGGAGTTAACGATATGTCTTGCCAATGGTGAATCAGAGAAGGCAGCAGATCTCGCATCTGTACTAGCAGAAACTGTAAAGCGTGAAATACTTCAGGAAACGAAAAAAACATCAGAAGAGACTTCTAAACAAATACCTCCCACACCTACAAGTAGTAGTAGTAGTAGTAGTAGTAGTATTGAAACTAGTACAGATAGTGTTAAGGATCAAGATATGCCTAGAGTGATATTAGATGATATTGAATACTCTGTTGAAAAGACGCGTGATAATCTTATTTCCAAGAATGCAGATCATACGGTTCATTCATTTATTGAAGGAAAAAATAATAATAATAATGAAACAGAATTAGATCCATCAGAGTCTTGTCATTTACCTTTTTGGAAACAAACATCTGCTTTACGTGTCACCTTACTGGAAACTTCTTTTGAAATGACACTTCCTGAAGGTGATGATGTAGAGAATCCATTAAGTTTAAAAGGTGCTGAAGTGGAAAAACATGAAAAGGAACGATTAACACTTTTGGATGATTATTTGGCACGTGAAGAAAAACGTTGGGAAGTACAGAAAAGAGCTATTGGACGAGTTGTACTCTTAACAGCTCAACGACTTGGTATTATTCCAGAAGATCTATACAGTTCATGGAATAATAATAATATTAATAATAATAATAATAATAATAATAATAATAATAATAATAATAATAATACAGATACCACATCTACTCATGATGGTAGATTTCGTGTTTTTAGACATTGTAATATCATTATAAGAGGTGAAGTACCGGAAGCGGCGGAATTACTGCAGTTGAAAAGTCCTGCAGGTGATATTCAAACAACAGCTGCAGAGGAGTTAAGGATACTTGAACAACGTATGGAAGAACGTGGATCTCCACTCTCTCCACGGGAAAAGGAAATGGCTCTCTTTGAACTTATCATGACAAAGAGTAAAATGCGATATGTTGTTGGTTTACATCGTGATCTTCAACTTGCCTTGGATGAATCAAATAAATTACGGGAATTATGTTCACAGAAGAAAGTATCTTGTGCATCTGAGGTATTTTCACATGAAGTTATTGAAAAACTTAATAAACTAGAACCAGATGGGACAGAAAAGTCTGCAGAAGAAGTGGAACTTATCGATTTATTATCTACTCCAGTTATTCCCTTTACATTTATGATGAAAATGTGTCTCTGGTTTGAGATCCCACAGGGTAAGCAAGATGCTTAATGGATTCGGTTAATTGTATTCATACACTTATACACATACATGCAAAGAATGTGGGAAAACTTTAAATTCCTTTTTCTTTTTTTTTTTTTCTTTTCTATTCTTTTTTGGGGGGATAATCATATTTTAATTTTCTGGAGATAATATGTCTTTGTTTTTTTCTTCCTTTTTTTTCTTTTATTTTATTTTGTACAGTGGTGCGAGAGACTAACTCAAAGATTATATCTATATAATTTTTGGTGAAAAGAAAAAAAAAAAAAAAAGAAATAAATGTCTCGAAAACGTAGTGTCGCATCTAGTGATCAAAAAAGTAATGTAGATGAAGTGTCATCTCTAGTAGGCTTTCGTGGAGGAATTATTCCTGAATTAAATGAAGGTTTACAAAGAGTTGGTCATACAATTGTAGTCTATAAACATGATATGTATCTTTATGGTGGATATGGACCAAAAAATACGTATGCAAATGGAATATTTTGTAATGTAAAGATGACATTACAATGGAAAGAATTACGTGGTGTAGGAGTTATACCTACAGGACGTGCTAATCATACAGCTATTATGCATGAAAATAAAATGATTATATTTGGGGGTCAACGAAATTTAGATGTATTTGATGATTTATATATAGTTAATCTTGATACTATGCGATGGGAAAGAGTTCATTATGAACGGGCACAAGGTCCTGGTCCTGTTTTCTCTCATGTAGCGGTATATGTACCTCCTACACAATCCATGATAGTTATTGGTGGTTTTCATCAACGTCAACATAATATGTATATAGCTCATTCTTTTGATATTCGACATCGTGTTTGGAATGGTATTCGAGGACCAGAATCTGTAAATCCAAGTCATTTACAACTTTGTTGTGCTGCTTATCATAGTGCTTCTTCATCTTTAGTAGTGATTGGAATTGTTGAAAAGGAAGTATTAACAACAGTAACAGGTGATCTTCCTACGGTATTTATGATGAATGTTCATTCTGGTGCTTGGGTAGAAATTAATACACCGGCAGCTCCTGAGAGTCCTATTCCTTTTCGTATAAATGGAATATGGGATTATTTTATTCGAGATGCTATTACTATGGGTGGTGTTTATGATGATAGACAACAAGAATGGTATTTCCCTATTTTAGTAGCTCCTATTGAAAATCATCTTACTCGACGTAAAAGTGAAAGAACTGGTTCATTATCCACTATGGATTCTAAAGCAAGGATAAAACATAAAACTACTACATATGGTTTTTTAGTCCTTCAATTAGATGATATGACTTGGTCTTTAGTTCCTATAAAGTTTCCTAAACAAGTTTTATCAGAATTAATGCAACGAAAAGGAAGTAAAAATACTTTTGGTCAAGATCATCATACTGTAGTGGGAAAACAAAAAAATAAAACAACAAATGTTAATAAGATTTCACAACCCTTATTTTCTGTTAGTGGTGTTTCACGTTTTCAACATAAGTATGCTTTTGCAGCTATTGATTCTTCAGGAGTTCGAAGGCAACGTTCATCTCATAAACTTTTAGTTATGCATGGTGGAATGAGTACTGAAGATTATATAATGCTTTCATTTACTCCTATATTAAAGAAACGTGGAACTACTTCAACCAGTACTACTACTTCCTTCGCTGCTTTTACTGAAGGTGAATCTTTTGCATTCTCATCCTTTACACGTATTGGTGGTAGTGGTGATTTTTCAACTAATAGTTTATGGGAAGATGATCACAGTGTTTCAGAGGTTGATTTTGGTCGATTAGTAAGAGGAGAAGGTAATCGAAAACGAGCAGTAGCAGAACCTGTAGATGATGAAATTGATGAAAATATAATGGTAGGTCACTTACATCGTATAGATAGTGATTCCACTATATTACCTATATTTCCAACTACACGAAGTATTACAAATGCACATCGTTTTGCAGTATTATATCATCCTCGGAGTGCTGTTCATAGTGATAAACTTTTACCAGATCCAACATGTCCAGTTGCTGTATTAGATAAGGAGTCGGATGTTAAACAATGGGCAGAAAACTATTATGCAGAAACAAGAGAATGGATTGCGACAAGTTTAGAAACGGCAAGAGAAGAAGAATTGGCATCCCGTAAAAATCATTCAAGAAGAAGACGTTCTAATAAATCGAATGCTGATGATGATGATTTAGACTCTTCTGATACTTTATCAGATTCCTCTGGAGAGTCTATGGAAACGAAGGGTACATTTGGTTCTTCATCCACAAAACCATTAGTTCCTATTGCACCATCCAAACCAAAAGACTTTTTTCTTGATAAAAATCTGGAAATTTTTTCATTTGGTGGTTTGGAAGTTCGAAGATTATCATCTCATGGTAAATCACCTTTTCTATTTTCTGGTGAAACAGTAGACAGTATCGGAAGACTCCGTATCTCTGTTAAACGAAATCGTGAGGTACAACGACTCCCATCTATGGTATTTCAACGTGCTTCTCTTGGTAATATTACAGACATTGGAGGTGCTACGGCGTTTATTCTTATGGAAGCCGCTCTTCAACGTGTGGGAGATGGTTCAGATGAATTGCGACGTCGACGAGCACTCATTCGATGGCGATATTTACGAGTGATGGTATTGAATGGAGAGGCAGCCTTTATTATGCATCGTGCCAGACAAGATGAGGCACGGGAACGTGGAATGGATGTTTCAAGTACATCACAACTTGTACTCGCACCCGATTTGCATATTAAAGGACCAATGCATAAGAGAGTCACCACACGGCCTATTCCGTATGCAGTTCCCACACTTCCCGCTCACGTGGTTCGCTCATCGGATGTGACCCAAAATGGTTTAGTGATGTATCACTGCCTTAAAAATGTAAAGTAAGAAGAAAGTATGAATTGGTTGAAAAGAAAAAGTGGGAGTGATAGTGATAGTGGGGAAAACCTCTTTTTTTTCTATCAAATTTTCTTTTCTTTGAGTGAATGAAGGTGTATACATGTTTTTTTTTTTTTTTGTTGTTGTTGTTTTTCTTTATCTGTTGATTCTATGTCTGTTATGTGAATATGGAATTTGTTTTTTTTTTTTTGCTAATATTATTCTTCATCTCATTTAAATATTTTATTTATTTATTTTTTTTTTTTTACTTTCACTTGAAAGAAAAAGTGAGAAGCACCGGAGGATTCTTGCCAATATTATAAATTGATACTAATTTCATATTTCTCTTTTTTTTTTAAAATCTAATTTTTTTTTTTTTATTTCTTTTGAAAGGTATAGGGAATATAATAAGAGGTGACAGGTGACAACATACAAGTGTGAATTAGGAAAACACACTCATATAAGTAAGGGATTGCATCCTTATTGAATATATATATATATATATATATATTTATATTTATACATATTTATGTTTTTACGCGTTATCAGTACTGAAGTCTCATTCTAATGTTACAGTCTAAAATCGTAAGAGGTGGTGAAAATCCATCTACCAAAGCTCAAGACCTCTCGGCAAGCAGGAGAGGCCGCGCGGTTGAAATCCCAGCACAAAGATCTCAAGTCCGCGCGGGTGATGCCTCAGCACAAAAGGTTCAAGGCCGCACAAGAGATTCACGCTCACCTTTAAAAATAATGCGAGAAAAAATCCGTTCGTTATCTAACCGCACACCCCGTACCTCACATACATCTGAAAGAGGTATGCGAACACCAAGAGATACTACTGATGTAACTGAAGGTCATCCAACAGGTCTGGAAATAATATTTCCGTGGAGACGTGAGGGAAATTGGACACCAAGGAGCAGCATGTCCTACAATACGACCCCTCGTCGAACCTCAGAATTGGCAGGATCAGTCTCTACACGAGGATCAAGAAGAGTTCTTGTTCCAGGTTCAACTCCTCGAGGTTCTAATGCAGCTGCGGCAGATATTTCCTACAGTAATAAATCACCTTCCTCCAGTATGTACAGGAACGGTATAAATCGTGGAATGGAAGAGCCTTTGGTGCAACCGCAAAGAGTAGAAAGCCCGGCTCCAATTACCCCTTCACGTGGCGCCTCCATTACGCTTCAACCCGAATCAAGTCCTCGTAGGCATAGTGTATATGTTGATAAACTTCCTCTTGAAGAGCTTACTGAAGAAAATTCTCATTGGCGTATATTTCACTCTACTGTATTAACTCCTCGCTCTCCTGCAAGAGTTAGTGAAGCTGTTACCCCTCGAAGTGCTCGCAGAAAATCTCCTATAAGGCCAAGAGAATACGAAGGTCCTGCTCCTCCTGACGAGGTTACCTTTAAACTAAATGATGCAGATATTCAGGAAATTATTGATCCCATTACACTTGATACTGTATCACTGAGTGTGGTGACACCTCGACGTTCAGGGGATGCTGCTGGAGAGACAACCATTCAAACAGAGGATTATTCTCATAATTCTCGACATCTTTCAGAACCGAGATCTCGGGTATTGTTCATTCATAGCGAGGAGTGGAAATATGATGTCCAAGGAGGAAAGGAAGATGAAGAAGATGAAGATGAAGATGAAGAAAAGGAAAAGGAAGAAAGGGAAAAGGAAGAAAACGAAAAGGAAATAATCAAAAAAGAAATCGTATTCGAAGATGACCTTGGACCACTTCCTGGATACAAGCATGTATCTATCTCTGTTACTGAAGCGAAGAAAAACCAGGAAAGCGGTAACGCAACACCGCACTCTGGTATTAATGGATCTCGTCCTCGTTCTGAATCTACTGCAACTTCAACACCCAGAAGTGATGTGGCACCATCTTATCTTCCCTTGTCTACTGAAGATGGGGCAGCGAAATCTGGAGTAAGATCATTACATGGTTCGTCCTTTACACCAAGAGGAACACCAGAGAAAACATTTGATGTACCACCTTCTAATACCATTTCTTCAGAAAAGTCAACAAATGATGGGAAATGGAAGGAACCAATAATTCCGTACCGAACCACTCCTGAATTAACTCCTCCATCTTCAGTGGGATTAAATGGTGAAGAAACAAGTGTTCACTATAACTCAACATCCAAGGGAAGTGGATTTCGTTTGGTAAGCAGCATTGAAAAGAAAGATGCCTCAATGGCTTCAAAATTGTCATCCAATGATTCAATGCCAAGAAAAGTTACATTTCGGGATCAAGAAAATTCATTTTCTGTTACTCACTCTGAAGGGCGTGGAGAGAATGAGGTGGTTGTAACTGAAAATAAAACTCCTCCTGTTAAGGATATTAAAACCACATCTCATGGAAAGAGGAGTCCAGTTCAACTTAACGGAACCAAACTTGAATTGACGCCCCCATCTTCAGTGGAACATAATTATGAAGAAACAAGTGATGACCATAACTCTGCAACTAGAGGAAGTGAATTTCTCTTAGGTGGTGGGGGCGATAGAACAAATAAAACTTCAATTACATCAAAAAGGCAAACCAATGGAAAGATGCCAAAGGGAGTGATGCATCAAGATGAAAAAGATTTACCCATAATCTCTGGTTCTCATGAAGGGGCTACTCTTAATTCAAATGACCCTCCTATACAAAATAATGTTGGCCATTACAAAGAGAGCACTGCCAATGAAGGGACTGTAGAAGCCCAAAAAGCTGGCATTTTATCTGGATGGTCACATTCTTCTGTCCCTGGTGATAGTAAATCTATACCAATAATCTTACCATCACCGGATAGCATAGTACGCACCCTTATTGGTCAATAGTGGGGTGTAAATGAAAATATGGTGGACTTTTTGATACCCAGGGATTATACCAACAAACCAAAAAAAAAAAAGTGTTTAAGAGAGAAATGCTTTCTTACTGTATGTATCTCCCCCATCCCCTCCAATGATTTAAAACCAAATTGAATCAGAAGAAGAATAGCTCAAACGTGTTTGGAAAAAAAAAAAAAACGAAAGGTGCATGGAGGTAATTTTTTGTGGTTTAAAAGAAAATGATCAGGGTTTTGTCTTTATATGTTGCTTCTTTTCTTTTTTTTTTTTTTTTCTTTTTTTTCCTGTGGCCATCCCTCTGTAAAGGCCACCCCAAGTCACTATTTCACAAGTGAACTTGATCCGTGAGTACTGCACCATGTACACGTATGAGAATTAAAAAAAAAAATATATATTTATATCATTTTCTATCAGCTTTACATATTTTCTTTGGTGTTCCTTTCTTTGTTTTTGTGTCTTTTTCTCTTTCTATGTGTGTGTGTGTGTGTGTGACGTGTACAAACCTACCCGAGCTGTGATAAAGCGTCCTCTTTTGTCATCCGAGACTGCTCTTTTACATTATTATGAGAGCCGCATTTTTCCCCTTTTTTTTCTCCAATTTAACGGGTGAGGTGGTCTTGGTATGCTGATCATGCATTTTTTGGGTGAGGTGATCATCCTGGGAAAGTCTTTTAGATGAAATGTACAGAGTTTTGATTAATATTCCAACTTTTTATTATGCTCAAATTGAGATAATACCATTTATCTTCTTTTTTTTTTTTTACTCTTTGTGTCGCTTGATCACATATAGTCTTTTGAGCACTGAGCTTTCCGCCACGTTCAGTTAAAGTATGAGGGCCACTCGTGATAATACTGATCGCTTGAGAAGCAATGTATCTCCAGCGCCTGTCTCACAGTCCTCTGGTTTCACCGTAAATGGCAGTGAAAAAGCGGGAGGATTGAGCAATGAATCTCCTATTACTAGATGGCGGAATTCACGTAATGCGGAAGGATCAGCATCAACGCCTTCTGTATCTTCAGCGGTAGCAGCAGCAGGTCGTGTACGAACTACTGATGCTACTGCAAAGAGTCAGGAACCGTCAAAGGTCTCTTCTTATTCTCGTAAAACGCTTGAAACTTCTTCTCCTGCGCGAAAAGGAGACGTATCCACAAGTCCTGCTCCCTCCAACCTCTCAAAGCCTTCGGTTACGGTAAATGGCAGTGAAAAAGCGGGAGGATTAAGCAATGAATC